CATAGTCTAAGATTCCTCCCTTCGCCCTTACGCTCAGTCCTGGTGCCACTGTCCCTGTTACAGTGGATCTGTTTCTATTCAGTCACTTTGCTCACTTAGTCTATAGTAGAGATGAGATGAGGCAAAGGGTCACAGCAACGATGGCTCTAGTTTCTAATCTTGACTTCATCTACATAACTCCAGTGAGTTGGAGAAGAGAAAGGGGTACATGTCTTATCTAATCTTTTGTTACTATGGTAAAACACCATGACCAAGGTAACTTATAGAAGAAAGGAATTTAGTTTCACCTTATCCAAAGGGCTAAGAGCCATTGTGGCAGGGAAACATGGTAGCAAGCCATGGGTGTGGTGACAGGAACTGGAGCAGAGAGCTCACATCTGATGTGGGATTCCCCTCTGTGTGCTGTAATTACCATTAATGAATAAAAAATTGATTTGAGCCTATAGCAGAGCAGGGCGGGGTGGAGCAGAGCTAGGTGGGGAGAACTGGACTGAATGTTGGGAGAAAGAAGGGCAGTGTCAGAGAGAAGCCATGAAATCCCTTGAGACAGATGCTGGGAACTTTACCTGGTAAGCCACAGCCATGTGGTGATATACAGATGAATAGAAATGGGTTAAATTAATATAAGAGTTAGCCAATAAGAAGCTAGAGCTAACAGACAGTGATTTAATTAATGCAGTTTCTGTGTGATTATTTCTGGTATTTCTGGTCTAAGCTACCCGGGTGGCCAGGAACCAACAAGCGGCCTCCTCCAGCACACATCTTTGACTGCAAACATGAAAGAAAAAGAGCAAACTGAAAGTTGAATAGGCCTTTGAACTCCCCAAACCATTTCCAGTGACGCTCTTCCTCCGTGAAGCCCACAATGGCCCACAGCCTCTTCAAACAGTGGTACAAACTAGGGGACAGATGTTCAAATGTCTGAGCCTATGGGGTACATTTCTGCTTTAAATCAACACCAAGAGAGGCCCCCAACTGGGGCCACCATCACTGCTCATTCCTTGGCCAATGGAACAATAATACACAGTACTCAAGTGTTCCATCCCATTAGTCTGTTGGCAGTACCAGAGTCCCAGGCAGAAAGCATGGCATGCTGGAAGGAAGTCAGGAGAACAAAAACATAGTTCTAGGACTGATGTGATCTATGTATTCGGCATTCAGACAAGTTAGCTAACATTTTGAGGCATGCCACAATGTATGACATGCTTTCGAAAGTGCTTCTGAAGAAATCTACACACACTGCTAGTGGGAGTGTAAATTAGTTCAGCCACCATGCATATCACCATGGAGGTCCTCAGAACACTAAAAACAGACAGAGCCTACGATCAGGGTGTACCATTCCTGAGTATGCATCCAAAGGAATTAAAGTCACCCTACACTAGACATGCCTTCACATCCATGTTTATGGACAAAAGCCAAGTTGCAAGATCAGCCTCAGTGCCCATCAATGGATACTGAATGAGTAAATGTGATTTATATACACAATGGATTAATTCAAGAAGATTGAAATCATGTCAATTGTAGTACATTGGGTAGAACTGGAGATTATCACATTAAGAAAAGTTAGCCAGACTCTGAAAGATCAATAGCACATGTTTTCTTTCATACATGAAATCTAGGGGCGAAGAGAGGCCACATGAAAGTATAAAGGGTCTGATAGCGACAGGACAGGGACCAGGGGAAGAGAAAAAGTGGGGAAAGATTAAGGAATGTAACATGTTGGGCCTGCTTGTTTGTGTTTTCTGTCCCTGCCTGGTACCCCATAGCCGGCAGGCCCCAGAGAAAATCAACCACACAAGAGATCTCTATAAGTTATAATGCTGATTGGCCCATTAGGTCAGGCTTCTTACTGGCTAACTCTCACATCTTGATTAACCCATTTTTCTGATCTATGTTAGCCAAGTGGCTCAGTACCTTTTTCAGTGGGGCAGCTCACATCCTGCGGCTTCGGTGATCTGGGCAGGAGTGGGAGGAATCAACTTCCTCCTCCCCAGAATTCTCCTGCTCTCCTTGCATCATTTCCACTTCCTGTATGGTTTTCCCACCTACACCTCCTGCCTGACCAATCAGCGTTTATTTAAAAAATGATTGACAGAATACAGACAATTCTCCCGCACCACTTCCCCCTCTTTTTTTAAAAAAAAGAAAAACAAAGGAAAATATTCATAGTCCATTTTTGGGAATGTGGGCGTAATATTCCAGGCTACTTCCAGCTGGTTGGGGGCGCTGATAATCTTATGGGAACCTAAAGGAAATTTAGAGTTATGATCAAGTCCTGACTGAAGTATCCTGTGAGTCTTGATCATCTTGGGCAGCGGTCTTGAACCTGTTCTGGATGAACTCAGACATCTGGGCCATCTATTCCTGTTGGAGATTTTTCAGGTGGCCTCCCTTGATTAAAGATGATTTTTCTTAACTCTGAATAAATCCAGAGCCTCTCATTTTCTGTGGAAACAAAAGTAAAATCTCTTCTCCAAAGTAACATACCTTTTGACTTCAATTTTGAAGCCAAGGTATTTTCAAAATACCTATCTTGGATTAATTCTGCAGCATTTATAAACAAATATCTTTTAGCAGCTGTTGCTCCTTCCTCAGCATTTAAACAATTAATGTCACAATGTAACCTGTTATTGTGTTTAATTAAATATACTAATAATAAATAATTGAATTAAACATTTCAACATACTATATGTGATAAGTGATACAATTATTACCATTTAAATCATGAAGAAATTGAAACCAAGAGAGGCAAAGTGGTTTTCCCACAGAGCCAATGCAACCAGAATCTGCTGCTTACAAACTGTTAGCTTTGCCCCAGGCTCTTGTTCTTCTGTTACCTGCTCTGAGTCTAAGTTCTGCCATTTTTAAAGTAATGACAACCTTCCAGGGCCTCTCCTCAGAATGAGGTAGACACATTTCTTGTATTGTCTTGCTGAATTCCTAAAATAACCCATGGGCAGGAGGAGCTATCTCCATCCCTGTTTTATAGATGAGAGAAACCAAGGCTTCCAGAGATTGGGAAACTGCCTGAGCCAAGGTCCGGCTTTTGGTCACTTAACCCGATCAGTTGTCCAGTCCTTCAGGATGACTCCCATCTCTACATACATTACTAGGTGATGCTGAAGATAAAGCAGACTGTACATGCTTCTGTGATAACGTAGATGATAGTTGTGTGAGCGTTTGGGGGAAGTTGGGCATGCCCATTTGACATCAATATGAGGAAAAATTGGCCCCGACTCCTGAAGACAACAGACCATGAATGGCTCCCCTGTCTGATGACACAGATATACACATCTTGACTGACAAACAGAGCAGAGACAGTTGTAGAAAAAAAGTTATGAAGAAAGAATGCTAGAGACAGAAGACCCAGTCCGGGAAGTTTTCCTGAAAGACACGAATTTTGCCTCAGCTTTGCCACAATGATGCTGGCACAGAACATAAGAGTTAGGAGCCTGAAACTCTGGTACCAGGACCACAACCCTTTCCAGAGGAATATGGGCAGGTGTCCAGACATAGATGAAAAAAAACTGTTATAAAGAGTAAGTGGGAAGGGAACATTCTCTTAATGCCATAGGAATGGCTCTGTGATGGGCAGGACCACCCATCTCACCCTCTGTAAGTGCTCTATACACAGCGGATCCCACACCATTCTCAGTTCAGCTTCAAATTTATCGGAGTTCTTTTAGCTTACGCAGTTCTGAAAACCCATGTGGAGTCACAGTATTCTTTCTGATCTTGGCGCAGACTCTTGCTCAACTTGTGGGCCCTTTTTATGCACTTTTATGTCTCTGTTTATTTTGTGCTTCATGAGTGGCCCGTGCCTTTAAAGGAAATGCCCCAGCTTTAGCCTGTCATTACGCTTCTGCACTAGGCCCGCTCCTTGGATGGACGAGCCTCGGTTTTTAATTTGCTGTGACAGGACATAATTGTTGCTTCACTTTCCACCCCTGGAAATAAATCCGGGTGGTGCTTCCCGGTTGGGAATCCACAGAGGCCACCTCCCCTGAGGGCTTGTGCCGGGGGAAGCTTAAGCCATGGGCTGGAGCAATTGTCTCTGTGTACCTTACCCCTTTCTTTTTTGTGGATTTCAAAACATGCAATTAGTGTTTTCTTTACTAGTTCAGGATGACAGAGTAAAGGAAGTTCAAACAAACTTTTTGATAATGCATGCAATAATTCCTGAAGTGGGGGTCTACAAAGTTTGACTCTGTGGATACTAAATCCTCCCTTCTGGACTAATTCTCTATACAGCTGCATTCAAGTTCAAGGACACTATGCCCTGCACATCATGGCTGTGCTCCACTGTCTTTTCTTTTTCCCTTTTGAATATGCTATCTCCTATAGAAATAATCTGGAAAAGTCTCATCAATCAGAAAGCATTTCATATTGCAAATCAGAGCATGGGTTCTTTGTGGACAATGGACGATACCCTTTTCTTCATAGACTGAGGTAGCTAAAGATGACCTTCTACCATTTCTGTCTACAGACGTGTCCTGGACATCATTCAGACACTTGTCTCATCATAGCCGACTTCAGTGCAAATGACTGTGAGGTCAGAGACAGTCATAGAAGCTTTGATGGCACCAAGATGTCTGGAAGCTTCACATTGTTAACCGTGGCTTGAGATGAAGAGTCAGAGAAGCTGACTGAGGTGGAAGAGAGGAACAGAACCACAATACAGTTCCTTGATGCTTCTGAGATGCGTAGGTCACTCCTGTGCCTCAGGTGATATCTGCATTCAAGTTTCAATCTTTGTGATCTTGGAGAAGTTACCTTTCTTATTCCCCATCTATGCCGTGGGACAGGTAACAAACCTGTCTCAGTGAGCTGTTCTGAGGTTGAAGAAACACAGTGCAGAGGTGATACGGCCTTCCTTTAGGGCACATAGCAAGATTGCATTACTGTCCTTGCTTGCTTGTCTGTTATTTCCTGGCGAAAAGCAACTTGGGGAGGAAAACGTGTATTTGTCTTACACTTCCAGATCACAGTTCATAAAAGAGGAAAACCAAGGCAGAAACTCAAGTCAGGAATATGAAGGCAAGACCACAGAGGAGTGGAGCTTGCTGACTTGTTCTCTGGCTCACTCACAGATGCTTTCTCAGGTCACTTTCACACACAGTCCAGCCCCATCTGCCTAGGGGTGGTGCAACCCAAGGTGGGCTGGGGGCTATCAGTCGTCAATCAAGACAATCTCTTACAGACATGGCTATTCCAATCTGGTCAATCCCTCAACTGAGACTTCCTCAGGTGACTCTATATCATGCCAAGATGACAGTTGAGGCTAACTAGAACAATTGTCCTAGGTCTTGATGTTACACTTAGTCTTGTAATGTGCTTTGACAGCAGAAATAATCTAGATTGCTCTGTTGGAATAGCCAGTTGTCAACTTTGCAGTAGCTAGAATCACCAAGGAGATAAGAAGCCTCTGGACATGTCTGTGAAAGGTTATCTAGATGAGGCTAATTGTGATTTTAGTTATTTGTTTATTAAAAATGATCATATTCCTCAAATTTTCTTGGTGCCATTCCCTTATTTGATTGTCCTAACCACTCTGAGATTGATAATACTGTCTCATTTTATAAGTAACTGAATTCAGATACAGAAGCAATAAGGAGTTCAAGACTGCAGCCAAGTTGAGTGATAAAATCGTACTTTTAACCTTAAAGTCCCTTGTGGCTCCTGTGATGCGATTCCAATCTTCACAAGTCCCACTAAGGGGGCAGTGATAGTTTTAACACCTCCTAGCTCACTCTGAAGTCGGGTGGGTTTGAACTTGGTATGGATATTGAATGATGAAAGGAATGTTGACAGGAGCATGCATCATCTCCTTCCTGAAGATAACTCCCATCTGAGCTGTGAACCTGTGGTTGATAAGGGAACAGCATGCCAGTAAACAGTGTGTCTCCCATGAAATCATGCAGACCTTATCTGGTAGCTACAGATCAGCACTCTTCTCCTCTTTGTTAAAGGAAGTCTCTCAAAGGAAACTTGGGCCTCCACGCTAGTCAACCAACACAATGGTGCAGGAGAATTGTCTGTATTCTGTCAATCATGTTTTAAATAAATGCTGATTGGTCAGGCAGGAAGTATAGGTGGGTCAACCAGACAGGAAGTAGAGGCAGGATGATGAGAACAGGAGTATTCTGGGAAGAAGGAAGCCCATTCCCCCCCCTCCTGTCCAGACACAGAAGAAGCAGGATGTGACCTGCCTTACTGGAAAAGGTACTGAGCCATGTGGCTAACATAGATAAGAACAATGGGTTAATATAAGCTACAAGAGTTAATAAGTAGCCTGAGCTAATGGGCCAATCAGTTTTATAATCTTATGGAGACCTCTGTGTGATTTTTCTTTGGGGCTTGCCGGCTGTGGGGAACTGGGCAGAACATAAACCCCAACAAGAAGGCCCCTTCATGTTACAACACAAGAATAAAACTTTCCCACTACATTCTTCGAACATTTTCATATTTTCATTGCAATGAAAACTGATTCAGTCTCAGAAAAAGTCACATGTAAAGGAGATTTGACACAAGAACAGGATACACACACACACCACATTTTTATAGTTATTCATCTATTGATAGATTCCCAAGGTGATTTTATATTTTGGCTATTTTTAATAATAATGACTAAATAGCAGGCTGTAATCTATCGTCCACATACTGATTTGCTTTCCTTTGAATTCTTACGCAGTGGTGGGATTGCTGGATCACATAGTTGTGAGTTTTTCATGAAACCCTACAGGGCATTGTGCTAAGTAAAACAGGCCAGGAACAGAAAGACAAACACAGCATGTTCTCTGTCATTTATACAGGATGTTAGCTGATTTCATGAATGTAGAGAGAATCATTATTAGAGTCTGGGACGGGGATGGGATGTTGGGATAGAGGGACTGTTTACTAGGTACACAAATACAGTTAGATGTAATGAATCAGTTGTAGTTTCTGTGGCACGGTAGAATGATTGTCATTATAAGAATTCATTGTGACTTTCAAAATACTAAAAAAAAGGGATTTTGGATGTTGGTGATAGGCTAGCTATCTTGATTCGAACATGTATTATGTGTGCATCAAACCTCATTGGGCCTTATAAATATGCATGATTATGCGTTGACTAAAAATAATTTTTAAAGCAATTGCGTTTTTAGAATTTAGCCATTAGGATCGCACACAAAGAGTCACGGAGAGAGGCGGTGCTTTGGGGGCTAACGGGAGACTTGAAAGACCGGAGCATTTTACGAATTAGCCCATTTCCTTGATAACTTTGGCTTTGAAGCTTAGCCAGCTGCTGCCAAGCTGGAGGATTAGGCCCACAGGATCTCATTATTAGTCATCGGTCATCCAGCCAGCCACTCATTTATTCACGAATATTGCTTGGTCTCTGCTATGGTTTGACAGTGAAATGCTCTTCAAGCTTGAACACTCGGCCTCACCTGGCGGTGGTTTGGTTGTAAAACCTGCAGGAAATGGAGCCTAGCTAGAGGACGTGGGTCACTTGAGGGGATGCGTATTAACTGTTACTGCCACCCCCCACTTTCTGGTCCTAGCTGGCTACTTCCTGATCTGCTGAGGTTTGAGAAGTTCTGGCCTCTGGGTTCCCCTGCCTCCATACCTTCCCGTCATGGTGGACTGTACTCTCAGATGGAAGCAAAATTAATGCTTCCTTCTTCAGATCATGTCTGTTAAGTATTTGGCCATAGCAGTGAGGAAGGGTAACAAAGAGAGGCACCCTCTATACAAAGTGAGGCTGTGCTCCATAAAGGAGGTATAGAGTTCCCTGCCCCAGTACAGCCTCAGGCCGCCATGAAGAAGCACTTCAGGAGGTTACTCAGTAAACACTTCTCATCCAGAACTGGGTGGATTGGGCTGAAAGATGGCCATTGTCTTTAAACCAGGTCCTTCCAAAGTCTCTATTTTGCTGTGGACTGTGTGCTTAGACTATTCCCACGAGGGTTCTATGCAGAGGGCATACCAACACTGTTTCTTTGGCTTTTGGCCTTTTCATGCATAGCTTCAGGCTTTTGACACCATAGCTAAATGCTTTCTTGAGGATCCCGAGGCTATCTTGAATACATTGAGGAACAAAAGAGTATAGTTTCTTGCTGAACTGGATGAAGGATCTCCTGTGGTCAAAGCTGCTCCACAGCCACTGGGTTTCAGCGGCCTTCTGGTCTTTGTCAGATGTTACTTTCTCTGTATTTAGCACAGAAGCAGGAAGTGCCCTTATCCTGAGAGCTCAGTAGGGCTTCTGCAGCCTTTGATTCACCAATTCCAGGGCTCAAGCTGTGGTATCTGAAGGGAGAAAAGACGGAGGATGGAGCCTTTTCCCTTGGTGCTTTTCCACGCTCAACTCTATCTGCGCAGATTCTTCTTTTATTTGAAACAAAGGGCCCGGGTGTATCCATTCCTGAAAATGCTTGCCTGCAGTTGGGATAGTGCTCTCTTTCAGAGTGAGCATCATCCCGTGACTGCTGTTCTTCATTCAGATTGGGGAACTGTGCAGACCCCAAATGCAAACCCGCTCAAATCTAAAAGATCACACGATGTGCCAGGGCTGTCCCCAAATACCTGGGACTCACGATAACTTTTCCTGCTCATCAGAACCAGTTCCACCCACTCTGCTACACACTCTGGAAGCACACCACCATAACACGGCAATGTATTTACATTTATTAACCAAAGGTACATCAGAAAACTTTGGCTACATTTCAATCTCCCGTTTTGAAATAGAGAGCATGTACCTAGGGGTTTAATAAGAAACAAAGGCACTGGTTTAAGGATTTCAGCTTCCACCGAATTGCCTTAACAACCATGGAAGCCAGAGGCCCTAATGTAAGAGACAGCTGTCCAGAGCCTGGTTGATCTCATTTTGTGGGCAGAACATGAAAATCCTTTCCGCTGAGAATCATTTGTTTTTATTTGCCCTGATTTGCTGCTGCCCATCAAAAGGACTCTTTATTATTCAGGATGAAGAATTTATTCCCTGTGAGGCTTTGAGTGGCATACCTCCCTCAGCTTCAGAGCAGCCTTTGCAGACACTTGGGCTAGCATTGCAACCTTCCCTTGTGCAACTGGGTTTTCTTTGAAAAGATGCTTCCCTCCGACCTGCCCAGCACTTCCTGGATTCATTGTGCTTCCCTCTTCCGCAAAGCCACAGTCACAAGTGTGAGTTGGCTAATCAGGTCCTGTGCATCGGTGTCTGCACTCACAGGGGCTACTTTTGCAGAGGTCAAAGCTGTGTGGCTGGGGAGACAGATTGTTCAGCTGCTTTTCTGGCACCCATTTTGATCAGAGAGATTTACTGCTCCAATGTCACAACCCGGCTAAGGCCCTTGCTTCCTCTAGTGAATGCCAGACGTGACTATTGGGTGATTTAATGGTTTGAATTTGTTCTTAATCTACTTTGTAGAAACCCACTTTCTCTATGGGATGCTATGTGGTGGGAGGAGGGGTCGCTTACAAACCCCAAATGCCTCATTTAATCTCGTTCTCCTTCAGCCCCACAGAGAGGTGAGCAGGCTGTGACCCGGAGGCGGGGGTCTACGGTGACAGGGTTCTGTGAGAAGGCTGGGCTATTTGTTGGAGCAGTGAGGGACCCCAGTGTGCAGAGGAGAAGTCCCTGTGTCACTCGCTCTTTTTGTTTGTTCACTTTGCCCTTGAAGAGCAGCTACAAGTACTCCATAGCAACCCTCAGGACAGGTTCCTGCCAGGAACAATTAGACTAACTGCAGCAAAAGAGGTCTTTGTAGATGGACGAATGAAGAAAGGCCTAGGAGAAACGAGACTCCCTGATCTTTTCCAGGACAGGGTCTGGAGTCTGATTCAGACCATGAGCAGGTACCAGGGGTGGTCTGAACCCACACTCAACCCCTCCAGGTTAAAGGCCAGGGATGAGAGAGTAAGAGCAAGAAAACAAGAGGGACTCTTGCTCAGAATGTTTCTTAGTGCTGCTGCCTGGTCAAGGAGGAAGGGAGAGACCTGGCCAAGGAAGAAACCTCAGCCTGTAGCTGAGAACATAAGCAGCAATGCTACCCTGTAAGAGGAGGCCACTTGTTCATCCCGGCTGCCCAGAACCAAAATAATCACACATAAACTATATTAATTAAAACACCGCTTGGTCATTAGCTTTAACTTCTTTTTGACTAACTCTTACATTAATTTAACCCATCTCTATTAATCTGTGTGTCGCCACATAGCAGTGGCTTACCCACAAAGTTTCGGCATGTCTGACTCTGGCGGCTCCATGGCATCTCTCTCTGACTTCACTTCTTCTTCCCAGCATGTAACTTAGCTTTCCCAACCTAGTTCTGTTCTTCCCTGTCATAGGCTCAAAGTAGTTTTTTATTCATTAACCAATAAAAGCAACACATATTCAGACGGACATTCCATACCACCACCCTGACTCCCTGGTCTTCCAGCATGGGAACAAGTGATGTGGTGATCCTCCCAACTCAAGGATCCCAACAGGTTCAGAAGAAAAGAGCTATCTCAAAGCTAGGCCTCTTCTGCTAGGTCAATCGTGCTGGGCACACAACACTCAGAGATCAGAGATGAGGCTGGTGGTGTGCCACAGCCTCCTGGTGAGTCACCCTGGGCCACCCACCTGAAAACAGAATTGACAGGAACTAGGGTGGGGTCTAGTTATATACAACCAGGCATCTTGAGAATTCCCCCAGAAAATTCTATAACCAGACTCACTATGCTGAGTCAAATAAACTCCAGAGATGTTAAAGGGGCCAGGAATAGGGGTATTACCACAGTCAGTCATAACGATACAGCTTGAACTCAATGTTCTGGATTTTCTTTATAATTAACCTGCAAAGCAAAAAGTCCAAGGGAATGCCTGGTAAAGTAGGGGCTCAGG